CACTGGGACACGAGATGCACATATTCCTAAGGAAGCCAAATTTGGCAGAAAGTGTGCCAAGCTGGGGAGGGTAATTTTACTAGGTCTTGAGGCGTTTGAGGTGCTCGGGGCATTTTCACTTTCTCCAGCAAAACCTGAGGCCCCGATGACATTTTCCTAGCCCGCCTCTTTCGATATTTCTTAGGTTTTGCAGCTAAGCCAGGGAAGAACAATAGGGCCCTAGGACTAACACCCTAGGCTTTGACCATATCGACCATGGAAAAGTTATCTATCTCATCGCCCTCGTCTCCAAGGTCATCTATCTCATCACGGTCAGACAAAGTAACCTTTTTGCTCACCTCGGGGGAGCTTGGCAGATCGTCCTCATTATCATAACCAATCCATCTATGATGACAAGATCGGATCTGAGGAGATCTATCTACCATAGCAAGGTAAATAGAAGACGTTGTGGCTTTAGAAGAAGCAGACATGGAGGTACAAGGAGTGAAATACCCAAAGCTAGAGTAGAGGGAAGGAACATTCAGAGAACAATCCTCAATTGCTCAAGGATCCAAACACAACGACCAAATAGAAAAGCCCTAGTAGTCGCGTAGGGGTCCAAAAAAAATCAACCCGAACCCCTAAAAAGATGAAAACAAAATGACCCAAAGTGGAATAACCACCTTATATTCGAGGAATCCAAGGTTAATCAGGAAAACCTAGGAGAGAGAAGCTAAAAAGGAAATGAGACAAAAAACGTACCTAGAACGCGAAGACAATCAACTGCTGGAGACCAAGAAAAACTCCTGGGAAGAGTAAAGGAAGCTTCGGAAGTGCTTCAAGTAGTCTTGGCACTCACTAAGTTAGCTTCAGCAACATGCAAAGAGAAAAAGAAGATCGAATCGCAAGAGGCAATGACAGAGAGTAGTTTTTCTAGAAAAAGCATAGATAATGGGAAACCAAGGCATTAAAGGTGCTCTAGGTACGTTTTAGCAGTATTTCTACAAAGGCATTAAAGGCACTCGTACAGTTGAAGGTGTATCACAACAATGCCGAACGTGTGCGATAACCAAGGAACAAGTCGCAACGCCAAAATTTTTGGGAAACTTCCCATCACCTATTCCAAATAAATTTGAGCCGAGCTTATCCATAGCTAGAAGCGCAGGTCATTCCCAACCCATGTTAGACAAGGCAGGCCTGGCTCAGGACTTGGAGACAGCTAACGATACTAAAAATTATTCAAGGTGAAGTTCGGACTAGTAGTAACTTGAAAACATGCCCCCAATAGTGGCCTGCATGACGATGTTAGAACTTGGATTCTAGTTCAAGACAACTAAGGTCGGGTGAACGAGCCGAGCTCCTAATCCCTATCCACCTAGCTTGTGGCCCCTTGCTTAGGAAACGTAGAGTGGGAGGTAGCACCAATGTGGCCCTCGTACGCACTATGACAACGATAGCTTGCACCTTCTAGAAGTCACATCACCCCTAGGGAATGTAGCCTCTAACGCCCAAATATTCTATCACATGGACTGCAACGACTTTGAGGGAGTGACACTATTTACGCAAAGGCCATGCACCTACTCATTATAAATACGGATCAATCCATCACATAGTGAATGATCGAATAACTATGAATTGGCTCTCAAGAGTATTGTAATAGTCTTTCCCAAGCAGTAAAAAACTCTCCTAGAGCAAGAGACTCAATTAAAATAGATTAGCCACTCTTCCAAACTAGTGAGTCACTATAAGCACCTTGTCTGTTGATTTACATTCTCGATTATTAAACTTGTATTGATTGTTTATTAAACTTGTATTGATTGTTTAGCCATCAATCTGGGTTCTAATTCTAAAGTTATGGGACTTATTGGTCGATTAGCTGAATTTGATTAACTAAATGAGCTAAAAACTTAATTTTGGTTCTGGTTTGTTCCAGCCTTCCAAATGAGTAGACACTTGACAGTTACTTAAGTTTGCTTCTCTCTCTCCATTTTTTTCAATCGACCTGAACATACCTAGATATCTTAATGTTCCTGCCAATGCAACTTGATAAATCACTAGGAATGGTCCCCATTAAAAGACTTCAAAGCAAGATCTCCAACTTTTAAACCCAATTCTTTATTGGCTTAACTACGCCTTAAACTGATAGCTATTAATGTAGCCCCCTCCCTCAAACAACTTTGCCTAAACTGTTCTTCTTATTGTACAATATACTGCATTGGTCACCACTACTAGTACATTTTTTTTTTTTTTTGGTGATATGCAATGGTGGATTGTTATTAAATAAAAAATTGACTGTTACAATTTTTGATCAATGAATTTAGTGCAGAAGACAAAGCACTCACGGAAGAGTGAAAGAAAAAACCCAAAAGAGAGCATAATAGAAACTCAATAAAGGTTAAGTTGTATATATCAAGTCAGCCACCTATTTGCCAAAAAAACACCCAATACGAGATGAGAATAAACTTTCTTCAATGCATACACAAACCATAAAGATAGTTGTATAGTATTAACCAATAAATTTCAAAAAACCAAAGAAGGAAAAACAAAATCCATATTCTTGACTAAAAAACCAAATTGGTATTCATTTACAAAATTGTCATACAATTTCCCTAAAACTTTTAAAGATGGATAAAGATAGGCGCAGTTAAATTCCTTTGCTGAGATGTCCAGCAAATTCCTTGGCATTGGCAAATGGGCGACCCACATTTTACGATAGGAGAGCAAAAATGATGGGGAATAGGGAGAAATTATAAAATGCAACGACTATGTAAATTTTATTAAACATAGACGTTAAAACTTGAAAGTTGAGATAAAAAAATAAATCAATGTTACACCCATTCTAATAATCAAACCCCAATTGATAGATAAGTTTGACCACCATCCCACTCTAAAAAAAATTGTAAGCTCGAGTCTCCGATTAGAGGCACTTGAAATCCATGCGGATAATTTCTCGGTGCATAAAGAACAAAGGTGTTATATGCCTGAAAAATTAATTGTATATGTTTGGTTAGAGGATGATTAGTAGAAAATACTAAAAAGAGAAAATTCTATAATTTTTGTTGTGTTTGGATGGTGTAAAAGGAAAATGACTTTTTCGTGCTGAAAACACACACACACACACACACACAAAAGAAAAAAGAAAAAAGAGTGATGATGTATAATTTGAGTCTCCATTACTTTTTTTCTAAAATACTTAGTTGGTCAATCATTTTGAAAGCTTTCTTGTAACTTTTATGCTTTTCAAACTATAAAATAAAATTTTCCTACAACTTTCTTATAAAACTTTCAATCTAATCAAATACATATGAGAAAATTTACCCAAAACATGCAGATATCTTCAATATAGTGCAAAAGAAACCTTAATATTCACCAATAATCTCTTAATTTAAAGCCTTGCATTCTCTAGCTTCCTCTTTCAGCCACAATTAATTCAATGCCGGGGCAAAAATAAATCAATATCAATCTTAATCACCATTTATCTTTAATAAGGGAATTCACAGAAATTTTCATGTGTGATTACTACTTGTATATTAATGGAACAGCACTTATATAGTAAGCACCACTTAAAAATGAGCAATGCTATCCATACCATCACATTTACCAAAAAAAAAAACAGTTTTAGCAAATGAGTTGACAACTGCACATTCTATCAAAAGCAGTTTGATCAGTTTGTTGTGAGACAAAACCTGATATGAAACTGTCAACTTATTTGGTAAAACTATAAGAGGTTTGTTTATAAATGTTTTGATACGCATAGCATTTTTCCTTAAAAAAATCTATTGGAAAAACTAATAATATAAAATAAAATAAAAAATATACTGAAAAGGATTTAAATCCAATTACAAACACATTCACAGGATGAAAACTGACCATAAAAAATCGGAACTAAAGAAGTGTCTGTAGAAGTCCCCATCAAGTTCCAACTTCTAAAGATAGCATACTAGGGAGAAATAGTTACAATAAACAAAGAACTAAACCAAAAACAAAACCATAAGCTGTTGAACAAATGAAAGTGTTGCATAAATCCACTTAAGAGAGATTAAAACCTGAGACAGAGCCCAACGGAATCAAGACCTGAAACAATGCGAGAGTTATTTGTTTTGATTCCTATCTCTACACCAAGGTATTTGTATGTATCCGGAATTTGTTCTTTCACTATCAGTTGATAAGGTCATAGTTATTCTATCTAATTATTTTTATTGATAGTTTTCCTGAATAAAAAATTCAAAATCGATCATCTGATGTTTAAAATCATTTGTTCTACAATGAAAAAAAAATTATAATCACATCCAAAAAGATAGAAGAGATAAAATCAATTACAGCTCCCACTTTTCGAAACTATAATTTGATGAGTCTGCACACCCAAAATGGGTGGTGTTGTTTTGTATTTATATTGTGATATAGACATGTTAGTAATAAATAATAAGACTACTTGTACATAGATTACAAAGACTTTGGTGAAGTCTAGTTGTTCATATAGTTGTACCTATAGTTGTAGCTCCAGCTGTATATAATCTAACATGATTTTAGGTTGTATACCAAAAACCACAACCATAGGATAATCTCTAAGAACTAAGATTAGCACTGATATGAGGTACAAAATAATAGGGTACCAAGAAGCCAGAGTAAACAGAAATCTCATTAAAGATAAAGGAAGATCCAGACAAGAATCCCAAAAACAACCATGAACCCACTCTACGATTTTAAAAACAAAGAATTTAATACTAAATAATTGACCAAATATAAACCCAAATAAGCTAACAGGATGTGACACCCAAGAGGCGAAAAGACTCAGATCCTTGATAGCATGCAAAAATTCAAACTAGCTAGTTAGACACGACCATACATAACAAATTGGTCAAAAAAACAGTCAAAACAGAGCATGAACAACTACAGATTTTACACCCAAATAAGATAGTCAGAAACAGCCCAATCTTCAGGGATAGAGAGGGTCATAACTCATAAGATACCCCCTTTTCTTGAACAAATCCACTTACCATCTACATATTCCTGATGAATCCTCAAGTTTTCCAATGGGTAAACAATCTCATCTCCGGTAGTCTCAAATACACGAAGAACTCGTTCCCAATTTTCCCAGTGATCTTCCCAACCCACCAGCCATCATTGTCAAAAGCATCAACTTTGTCATACAAACCCAACCCAGTAGCCGGAATCTCAGGCGGTGCCGGCCGGAACTCGTCGACGGAGACAATCTCTCTCAAAGGTCCAGATAGATCATCTTTCAGGAGGGTCTTGTATTGCACTATGTACTCTTTCTTCAGAAGCTCTGAAATTACTGTTGCTGCGTAGTATGAACCGTTAAACCCCTCTTCTTTGCTTGCAACTTCCACCCGATCGCCTCTCCGAAACACCATTGTTGCTGATGGTTCTGTAAAGGTCCAACAGATGTTTTTAGAGAGAGAGAGAGAGAGATAGGATAGGAGATGAAACCCTAGAGAGAGAAATTGATATTCTGGTATTCTTGAAGGGCAAGGAATGCTTTGCAATGGTTCTTGATTCTGTCGTAGTACATAACTGCATATAGTGGTGACATTTTCTTTTTTTGCTGTACGTGTGTATATGTAGTTTGTACAGCTTTGTTCCAATTAGGAAACAAAGATTGAGGCCGTTTAAGGCGTGTGATCATGTGATGCCAACCGTTAGATTTCCAGAATCCAAGGGATTTTGATTTCACAATGTTGGAGATTTCTGGTACTAACCTGATTAAAAAACAAAAGAACAAATGATATAGATTATTTTCATCCCCTTAATTAGATTCTTTGTTTTTAAATTGCGTCTAGCTCTCATGTTTCTCCTATTATGTTTTCAATTACAGTCGTTAGTTTTATAATTTTTAAATTACAATTATTCATTAAAAATTAGAGAGAAAATTGTCTCATTTTATCTTAAAATATAACCAGATATGGTTATTTTTTTTGTCTAAAAGATAAAAGATATTTAATTTTACGACAATATGAAACGAATTTACGTACTTGAAAATAATTAATTATATTTTTTTTTTGAATAAACTCAATGATCAACATTGTTAAAAGTTCTACGAAAATGACCTTATTACCCTTGTATTTTTGTCTTTTACTAGTTCTTCTTTCTGTTTCACGACCAATTGCCAAATTGACACAACCTCTACATTGGTCAAAACCTTTCCATCAATTGATAAGGATTTCGTAAGGTAGGACGTTAGTTTTGAATCCAAGTGAATAAAGTGTTACAAGATCAAACCATATAAATTCTCACCAAATTCTATTTTAAACATGTGAAAATTGGCCAAAACTCTATCCCAAAATCTTTTAAGCCAAAAAGCCCTAGTAGGATATTTTTAAGGCATTAAGGACACATCACTTATTCTTTTTTGTCTTATAGTCCAACCTAGTTGGATCCATTTTTTTTACTGTAGTACCTTTGAGTGTATCACCTCCCTTCTCCATCTCTCTCTCTCTCTATCTCGTTAGAATAGAGATTCGACGGCAAAAATTCAGGCAGTGTATATTTGTTTGTTGCTCAGTTGCTATTTCGACTATGATCTAGTGAGGGAAAGGAAGAGTTTAGTGTGTGGGAAAGACAATCAGACCAGCAACTTGTGCCATCTTGTGAAGATATCAACATCAGTGGTCTCGTTGGTTTGGGTTTCGCCGTGAAAAGGGTTATGTTGTGGTTTTTGTTTGATTGTGAATTTGATGATCATTTTTATGGTATCTCATGTCTTTGGTAATTTATAAAATTTAATAGAGCATCAAGTGATATTATGATATGATTATTGCAAGTAAAACTATAATCTATAATATAAAACAGGAGATGATTTAATAAGTCTATTCGATGATTTCAAATAGACTCATCCAACGGTCACAAACATCTCTCTTAAATTTTTGTTGTTCCTTAAGACACGTGTTACTCATTGTATGAGACTAAAGAAGAAGAGAAAGATAAAAAAAATTGGAACAAAAAGACAAATATCATTAGGCTTGTGTCAAGGGATAAAAAACTTAGAATGCAAAATGGGGCGTTATCCCACATCAACGAGAGGTCATAAAAAAATAAGATTTGCGTGGTATTTGATAAAACTGAAAGGTGAAGTCTGAAAACTAAAACTAAAGTTTAAAGTCTAAATTCGTGGATTGTTTAGTGCCCACTGAAATTTAAGTTTTGAATTGAATTAAATTGTTTAATAAGTACTGAAAATAAATTAATTTTCAGTTTTACCCTTTTCACCTTTAATTTGAAAATGTTTATAAAATATATTTTTATTTAATAAAAAACTATGATATATGAAATCAATTTAATTTATAACATAAATTATACTCATTATTATCATATTGTAGTCTATATTTAACAAACATGATAATAAAATTAATTTAAGTTAAATTTATCACTTAAAGCTTTCAATTGTCATAAATTTTAAAAATTATAATTAGGATACAAATCAAGAGTTTAGTTGCCTTGCAATTTGTTAAGCACATTGAGTATAAAAATTTGATCACAATAACTGAACAATAATAAATTTCATAACGTAATAAGTGGACAATAACATGTAATAAAAAAGGAACAATAATTAATAAATAATTAACAAAAAATTTTAAAAAAAAAAACAATAAAAGACGCTTGTGTATGTGCACAACATGTGCATGCAACGCACGTGTGTATGTGCGTGCAAAGTGTGTAGACTTTTAAACTCTCTCTGTGTTGTGTTTGTATAACTCTACGTGTGTGCAATGCATGTGTCTGTGTGTGTCCAATGTGTGTGTCCATCTGTGTGTGTAATTGTGTATGTATATGTTTGTTGGACAAGACAAGGGAAGAAAAAAAAAAAAAAATAGACAGGGAAGAAACTTACCTGTTACCCGCCGAAGAAAACGAACGACTAGGAGGATAGATAGGTTAGAAATTTTTGAGAGAAGATTAATTAGAGTTTTAATAGGATTGTAAAATATGTCGAATCATAATTTTTATATTGTAAATATTATTAAAGAAGTTGTGCTGAATATTTTTAATTTTCAGAATTAAGTAAGAGATCTCTTACTTAATTTGTAACATATTTCTAAAGAGCACTTAACATATTAAAAGAATTTAAATTTTAATTATCAAATAAATTTAATGAATAAGTATCAAATACATGTATTTTAAGTGTTGAATTTAGTTAACAAACACACTCTTACTTTGCGACTTTAAAACCGGCATTTACCTTTGCGTTGACAAAAGCAAACAACTGCCATGCTCCGTCTGTATACGTAGCATGCAACATGGCCTTCCGTTGAAGGTCTTGGAATTTCGGTCTAAATATTCTGTATAAAAGTAACTATTGATTAAAATAGACCAGTTAGGATTAGGTTGAACCGTTCGGCTTTGTCCACGTTTTATAAAAAAATCATCCAATTTCACTAGGCTTATTACGGCTTAATTGTAAAACGATATAATTTATAAAATCAGACTAGTTTAGGTACTGGTTCACTAGTTTTTTAGATTAATACATAATGCACATGTGTGCTCATAGTCAAAAGTGTATATGATAAATAATAAAGAACACAAGTGATTTGTTGACGTAAAAAATGTTCATCGGGAAAAATTACGGAGAACCTTCTTGGTTTACCGAAGTCTAATCAAATACTTGTTAAGTCAACATACATGTAGTTGAGTATTATATCTAAACCAATATAATGATTAGATGCTCATTTCTTTTTTGCCTCTCCGTCAAAGGCACTCCTTCGACGTCTAGTGTAGTTCACTTGGACCTTCCCACTGCACGGCTTGTGTGGATCTCAAGCAACTCTAGACAAGCCAACAATTCTTGCTATGCACACACCAATGAGTTTGTCAAGTCATCAAGATCTTCAACTCCAAGTTATTAGATTGGGTAAAATTTCTAGATGTAACCTTTGGATTTAGGGATCTAGTTTAGTAGTGGAAACTCTCAAGGTAGAAGAAATGTTTTCTCTCTTATATATGTCACAAGAGGCTTAACTTAGCTATGAGAAAGACTCTTTCTATTTGTAGGTCCAGAATAAAGATAGTCTTAGTAAATAAGAAGCTCATATTCGCAAAAGATCATTCGATCGGTTGGAGGGCGGTTGACACTGGAATGAAAATCATATTTTCATCTTGTCTAGGAGCAGCATCGCTCGAGCAACCATGAACACCGCTCGAATGACCTTGAAGGACCACTCGAGTGAGCTCTGTGTTGTTGTCATTTCCTAAGTTATGAAGATACCGCTCTAGCCAAGACAGTACCGATTTTTGAAGCACAAAACCAAGCAAAAACTAGTCCTTTTGAGTACTAAGGGTGTTTGCTCAAGAGGGGTCCTCCAATGGTTCAATCTATGTTTTTAAAACACAAAATTGTTCAAAAAATCTTTTGTCACGCCCCATCCCGGTCTCCCAAAGATGAGATGCGATTAGATTTTTGATATACTTGTTTACATATATATAATCTGGATTAATAAAACACTAAATAATTTCACAGATGCAACAACACCACTCATTACCTTAGTCATTAAGTATGATGGTAATACTTGACTTATAACCTATACCATATATAAAATTGGTACCAATTGCTGGTTTTCCAAGTTATAGATATATACAAAATCTCACATCTACATACCATACATCTCAAAGTACGCTTATTGAATTTGTTTACAAATATACACTATTAACCTGCAATAATAATCTATCACTCAATCTAATATACAACCTTGCAAATAATTATACAGACACTCAACCTGTAGCACTCAACTCATTCAAACTAAAAACATAATTAACAGACATACAACCTGAGTAATATCACATTAACTTTGTTGGACCACTCTGGACTGTACTCAATTCCACTGGACAGTACTCAACTGACTAGACAGTAGACTGATCTATAACTCCCTCTATAGTACCTAAAAAGGAGAACCGATAAGGGTGTGAGCTAAACCAAACGATCAGTGAGTATACATGTTGTATATGAAAATAGTAATACGCATGAGTAGGTAGATACGTCGTAAATACACGTATCAAACAACAACATCAAACCAATTCCAAAGAATTCACAAACCACAACATATCCATACTACCCCACATCGGGTAATCAATCCCATATGAATCAATGCTCCCGAACCTCCCGGGAATACCACAGTGCTAGCACACCACTGCACACCCAGTAATCAAGCACCGTCGCTTCTGTCTCAAACAGTACGCCACATTCCATAATACACATTACACAGTACAAAGTATCATTCAATCACATAAGCACATAACACATAATCCTGAAGAAATGCTATTAAATTCTATCATTTAATAACATCTTATAATAACATTTTTAAAATATATAAAGATATACACCCACCTCAAGTGTACAGATCTACGGGCCTTCGGACTCACCGGTGGATCCCTTTGGTATTACCGTATTTGTCTCAACATTGACTGTCCTACCTGTTCCACTTAACATATTTGTAATTACAATATCAATATGTTTATCATGTTTGATAATTAATTATGCACTAATGCATATAAGATGATTCAACCCAAAGTGCCCAAGTAACCCCGGTTATTGTACTATCCACTCACATACTGGCACATTAGATTTAGGGATCACATTTTCTCCCCAAATCTCAAAAATCACACATTAATCACAATTAGGATTAAATACGTCAAACACATTAATCCGGGGTCTATTTTCACACATTTCGACCCCGAATTCTAAAAACTACACTTTCGACATTTCGTACATTATACACCAGATATTATATTCATTTGCATTCGAAACTTACATTATCACATCAAGCATCAATTAATAATGCAGCTTGCAAAATTTCGGATCAATTGGAAAAAAATTCACATGTGATAATAATATTTATAAATCAGGATTTCGGCATTATCAGCACCCGTTTTTAACCTCTATCGCACTTTTCTTTTAAAACAACCACCCTTAAACTCACACACACAACACACTAAAATGAACACACCCACACCCTTACCTTCTCTTGCTTTCTTCTTCTTCTTTTCCCACTTTCTTCTTGCCTTCTCTCATTCTCGGTTTGGTCTGGAGGCTCCCCCCAAATTCCTTCATTTTCTTTCCTTTCTTCTCCCTCTCGGTCTAACCTAGAAACCCACAAAAAGTTGGTTTTTCTCTCTCCCTATCTCCTTCCTTGCTCATGGCTTAAGGCACACACACATATATTTTCTCTTCTCTCTCTTGCTCTCCCTCACTCACGATTTTAGCAAAATAGAACACATACACACACTTTGAATTATGTTTTAAACACACACACACTTCTACACCTTAACAAACACACACACACATACACTTGGATTTTAATTTAACACACCCACCTCATATCTCTACACATGTAAGGATGAGTCATCCTAATTGGATAATTATGCTTACCTTCTCCCAAGTTCTTAAGTGATTTCACTAATACTTCACTAACGTGGTCCACGTACTCGATGTATGCTCACACATATCATGGCTAAGAAGGGTTACTTTAATTAACCCTTTAATAGTTTCACATAATTATAATTTAGCCTACATAATTATGCTAATATGCATGCACTGCATGATCGGGTATCACATCTTTTCTTTTGAAATTACGTGGGAGCTGTATATGAATTGCTTCCAATTCTATTTTCATTCTAATCATCCTAAGTTAAAAGTAACTAGGGGTTCATCTTAGGTGTCTCGGTCATTACTTTTATCTTAAGTATGAAGGTGCATATGGAGGTTGAATAATATTGCTTTAATGCTTGATCTCCTCCCTTCAATGACAGTTTCAGATCTTCAATTGATAGCATCATGACCATGGAAAAGGTTGAGATTTGCAATGGACTCCACAAAATTAGCCAAATAAAATGTAATCTTAGAATCTCCCTCTTTGGCAATTTTGTGACAAGAAATACAAGTTAGAAATGAAGATTACTGTCCACAAATCATTGAACAAAATAAATTGTAAATCTAATCTCAAGTCTTATGTACACCTCCTAATATTCTATCGAAATACAAGATTTACTTCTTTAGATGAAGCTTGAAGATTGTAGTCCTACACATCACCACTTAGACCAAAACCTCATAAAAAATATTATATGTTAGAAAAATACATAATATAATCACAGGCTTGAAAAATACAAAGTTAAGCATAGGACATAAGTATGTATACATATTCTAGTGCAAATATGTAACATATTAGGAACTAACTTGCCTAATTTTCTTGAGAGCCTATTGATCTATCAATATGAAATATTATAAGTTCTCCCCCTAAGTTGGTATTCACAAGTAAAATAACAAGTGTAAAATGTGACTTAATGCCAAGTTTATAAATTTATGCCCCTTTGAGTATTTAAACAAACTTCTTCTTTTTTACTTTCACATGCGACATATCTAGCCCAGTCAAGAGTAAATCTCTCAGATTCCTCTCATATGTATCTAAAATATTCTCCCACCTTTTTGTTACAAATGCCCATTCTAATAATAACATGTAACAAGTATAGTACAAAATTAAGTTACCCAACAGATTCTTATCTTATTTGCAATAAATGTCAACCCAATGACAAGATATAACAATCATAACATACAATTATAGTATAATAAGAAGGTATGAATGCACATCAACTAGCCAAATCATGCAAGTAAGATAAACAAGGGACAAATAAGATATATAACTCAAAGTCAAATATGATAAGAACATCAAGATTATGACTAAAAGTATGCCACAAAAAATGAAAAAGTTAACTAAACAACCAAAAATAAATAAACTAGAAAATTTAACGACAAAAAGTAAATAGTATTTTAGTACAGGATGTGAATGAATAGAACACTCTCAAACTCCCATATGACTTAGGCTAAAGTCTCTACAAAAACAATAGCTTAAATGGTTGCATCTCCATCATCTCTACTATCCCCATCAAGGCTAAGTCTCTAGCTCGTCCTCATCAATGAATCCTGCATTTTGTAGCATTTGCCTGAGCTACCGTAACTCCCTATGAATATCCCTCTGATCTCTCACAACATAACTCATCCTTTTGTTAATAGCATCAAGTCTGACTGTTGTGAGGCTGTGCTGCTCATCCACACTAAAATGTAGATGGCCTAAAGCTATACTAACAGCTGCCACTGATTTGAAAAAGCAAAGTAAGGAGTCCTAGAGAGTAGTGCCCGTGATGTGCTAGCTCAAGCATGCCTCAAGGGTGGTATGTGACTTGATGAACCAACCTCCATTTGTTAGAGAACTATGTTTCCAATCGTTTCACCCAATTAGCCCATTATTGGTCAAGATCAACCCAAGACTTTAAAGGGTTAATCCCTTGATCCCAAGATTTTCACCGTAAGTGAGGTCGATGAAGTGTCAGGGTTTCTCCTTTCAAAACAGGATAGAACTCAAGAAATTCTGGAACGATACTTGATTAAAAAAATAGGGCCCAATACAAAGTTTGAACTTAAATCCAAAGAAAGGATCAAGACATTGTCATCTATTGAGTTCCGAATTGTGTATATAATGCTAAAAGAAAAAAAGAGAAATGGAAGATATATCTGATGAAAAAACAGAGGAAGATGATTGATCCATCTTTCTCTTTGATGCCATTTGAGGGAATCAAAGAATGAAGAAAGGTCTTCGGGAATAAAGAAAGGATGATAACAAGAAGTTCGAAAGTAAGGTTAAATGAACAGTGTAGTAGTGAAACCTTTAAATAGGTGTTTAGAAGCTAAATGGTTGCAATTATTCATTTGTCTGAGTTATTATTCAAAAACTCAAATAAATGATAAAGGTATTGTTTGGGCTCAAAATATAAAATCTCAGGAATATTCAACATACTGACACCTAGTATTCCCAAATCTACTATATAAATGCCCCGTGGCAAAAATAAAAGAAGGTCGGTCATAGTCACATTTTAAAAGAAAATAGGTAACCAACTAAGAGTAATCATTAGATAATTGTTGATGAGGAGAAAACCGTTGAAATAAATATCTATAAAAAGGCCATTCAATGGAGAAGACAAGACACATTCAAACCCCCAAAAGACCCAAGATCGATGCATCATTTTGAATAGTTTTATACTAGTTTAGGAACAGTTAGTGTTATAATCAAAACTATTTTATTTTAGTCTTTTATAACCGAAGTCTTTTAAATTGGATTAATAAAAGATTTCCCTTTTATTAGTTAGAGTAAAAATGTTCATTGTTTTCATCCCAAATAAATCTTGAAATAAAACATTTGAACGCTTTTCAAATAATCGCCTTAAAATTATATATTTATAGAAACATTTATGCTGATTAAATAGATTTTAGAACAACAAAGTCATAACTCTTAACATTACATTTGCAAACTATTACACCTACTAACTCTTGTAACTCTAAAATATTAAAACACCATTATTTGGAAAATTGCTTCCACTTATAATATTGTCTTTCACTACTTGGATACCCCTAATCCACTAACACATAAAATTAATACACTTTAATAATATAATAAAATCTAAAACAAGATTATTTTATTATTAAAATCTAAAACAAGATTATTTTCCAGCACCCAATAGACCAGACACAGCACAGACACCGAAAAACAGAGACAAAAAAAGAGTATGAACAACAACAGATTTTACAGCCAAATAAACCATTCAGGCACAACCCAATCTTCAGCGATAGAGACTCTCATAAGAAACCCCTTTTCTTGAACAAACCCACTTGCCATTTAAATAGTCTTGATGAACCCTCAAGTTCTCCAATTGATATGCAATCTCATCCCCACTTGTCTCAAAATACACGAAGAACTTGTTCCCAATTTTCCCAGTGATCTTCCCGACCCACCAACCGTCATTGTCAAAAGCATCAACTTTGTCGTACAAACCAAACCCAGTTACCGGAATCACAGGCGGCGCCGGCCGGACATCATCGGCGGCGACGATTTCTCTTAAAGGTCCGGAGAGATCATCTTTCAAGAGAGTCTTGAATTGCAATATGTACTTCTTATTCAGCAGCTCTGAGATTACTGTTGCTGTGTAGTATGAACCCTTAAACCCCTCTTCTTGGCTCGCAACTTCCACTTGATCGCCTCTTCTAAACACCATTGTTGTTGTTGATTCTGTGAAGGTCCAAAAGATGGGTTTAGAGAGAGAGACAGAGGGTTTAGGAGATGAAACCCTAGAGAGAGAGATCAATCTTCTGGGATTATTGAAGGGCAAGGAACGCTTGAATTGGGTTTCGGATTCTTTAGCTGTTTATATATAGCGGTGAGTGGCTACGGTTTTGTTCCAATTAGCAAACAAAGGTTTGGCGGTTGGAGGATATCAACCGTTCGATTCTCGGAGTCCTGAGGATTATGATTTCACAACGTTTTGTTGATTTTTGTAGTACAAACCTGATTAAAAAAGGACAAATGATATTTTGATACCCTTAATCAGATTCTCTGTTTTTATAATTTCTAGTTGTCATGTTTCTCATATTTTATTTTCAAATATAGTCATTAATTTCATAATTTTTTAAATTACAACTATTCATTAAAAATTAGATAGAAAATTTTGTCATTTTACCACCAAATTAAATTATTATGTCTCATTTTATCTTAAAATCTAATGAGATGTCATTTTTTTTGTGTGTGAAAGATAAAAGAAATTTAATTCTATGACAATATAAAACGAATTATAGTATTTAAAATAGAAAAATGAGTTTGGTGTGTTGGTCAAAGATTTAGAGTGTAATTTGCAGAAAATAAATTTTTATTTTTTGAATAAACTGGTTCCTTTTTCTCTTTCACGACCAATTGTCGAATTGGCACAACTCTACATGGCAAACCTTTTCCATCAATTGGTAAGGATGCTGTGACAATTGCTCCCTAGAGACTATGAAGGCATAGCCTTTTTTTTTTTTATAGGACTTGAGTACGGTATGAAAAAAAAATTCGGTATCGTATCTATAAATTTTATTATTTTAATAGATACTTTTTTATAATATTTTTGAGTTATTTTAAAAAATTATTATTTTTATAAATAATTTATCATTTTTATAGATATTTTTATCATTTTTGTGGTATCTACGATCAATCGCAAATACCACAATAAAAATATCCACAAAAATTATAAAAATGTCCGATAAATAGTGGTACAGTATCAAATTTTCCCCCCATATAGTAGACTACTTGTCACGGGGTAACACTTCATTTTTACTTTTGAGGCTATTTGTGAAGGCGTTGCCACCGCAACCAACCACACACAATCTCAAGAATAAGGATAGAAACTGACGCACAAAGGCACACTCGAATTTATTGGGACAACAATCTCAAACTTTATATATTGAACTCAATACTATTTACAAGGAAACTCAGCAAGAATACTCTCTGTCTACCAGAATGCGCAAGCACCCTTATTTATACAAAGAGTATGACAGATGACACCCCCCCATCTGCCAAAGGGTAGTTACCCACATTCTGCTATTCTATAGCAGACTTGGTCAGCAGGCTTGATCTCTGTGCGACACTTGGTAGGCAGTTGTATAGATTAAGCCTTGTTCAGCAATTGCCTTGACTAAGTCTCAGCATTTGCAACTGCCCACATCCTCCTGGTCACATGCATTGAGCAGCCATGTGCCAATCAAGTGTCCACATTTAGTAGCCAATCTTGCCTTACGAACTATTGTGTATGTTGGGTTCAACTCATGCCATGCAATTCGAAGCTATGTACCCACATTGCCTCAATTGAGCCCACCATGTGCTGTCATACAAAGCCGGGTGGTCTCATGCTACCATAGTCCGCACCAATCTGTCAAACTACTTAGCCGCATCACCTTGATTCAATCTTATGGCGTGCCTTAGTGCAAGGTGCCACCAAGACCTCCATTATGCACTCAAGTCAGTTAGGATGTGACAAGTCACCCTCACCTGAAGTATCCAACAACTTCGTTGGAATGGAGGCATGATACTGCTTGATGATATACTCGAACTGCTACAATGTCGTCTCTTTCTCCCAAATGACTTCCTCTGGTGCTTTCCTTTTCCACTTGACTAGGTAATGAGTTCTTATATTTTTCTTACTCATTCCATCAATCTTGTGATTAAGAATAGCTTCTGCTATCTCTATGAATTGCTTCCTGATTGTTGGAGGAGCCCGACGCCGAACATATCTGACAGGGTCCCTGGGTCCTCAACGTATGACTTCAAGAAGGCAACATGAAAAATTGGATGAAGCTTGAGATGACTGGGAAGATCCAGTCTATAAGCCAACCTATCAATCCTTCTTGTGATAAGGAAAGGACCGTCATAACGCTAGATGAATCCTTATGTGCAGACTTCCGAGTGATCTTCTTCCAGATTGGTGGGGTCAGTTTCAGCATTACTTTGTCACCTATTTCAAACTCTACTGCCCTTCTTTTCTCGTCTGCCCACTTCTTCATCCTCTTTACTGCCTTAGTCGAGCAGTTCTTTGCCTCATCGGTTCTTTTCTGATTGAACCAAGCAAAGCGGTATGCTACATGACATCTCCCTTAAGACTTTTGCTTAGCAACGTCATGCGAAGTAAGAGGCTGTTAGCCAATTGCCAACTCGAATGGGCTTATCCTAGTGGAATAGCTTTGCTGCAAATTGTAGCTGAATTGGGCTACATCAAGTAAATCCACTCAATTCTCTTGGTTTGTTGTGACATAGTATCTGAGATATTCCTCCAGCATTATATTTACCCGCTCAGTCTGACCATCTGTCTGTGGATGATTGCTGGTGGAAAGGTTGAGTTGTGTACCCAACAACTCGAACAAGGCCATCCAGAACTAGCCAGTAAAATGTGTGTCTTTGTCCCTAACTATATCAAGCGGAAGACCCCAAAGCTTCACTATATGTTTGAGGAACAACTGAGTAGTAACTTCAGCAGAGCATACTTTTGGAGCTACAATGAAGGTGACATACTTCAAAATTTTGTCTACAACCACAAATATTGAAGTAAAGTCATTCACCTTAGGCAAACCATTGATGAAATCCATGGAAACACTCTCTCAAGGTCTGCTTGAAATAGGGAAAGGCTCCAAAGTACTTGCCATATTCCTCCTTTCCGTCTTGTCCTACTGGCACACCAGACAAGTGCGCACATAAAGCTTAACATCAGCTTCCATGTGAGGCCAATAATAACTTTTCACAAGTAAGGCAAGGGTCCGTTCCTGCCCCAGATCCCCTGACCATCAAGCATCATGTGTTTCTTTCAGCAACATTTGTCGAAGTCCACATGACTTCGAAACATAAGGCCTCCTTCCTTTGGAGTAGAGTACACCATCCTTTACCCAAAACCGTCGAGCCACCCCTTCTTGAACCTACTTCAGCAACAAGCTGGTCATAGGATCATCTTTTTTCTGATCTCGAATTCTTTGCAGTATGTCTCCAGCAATCTGGCTAAGTGTAGTCATCGCTCCATCAGCAACTGGGATCCGACTAAGGTCATCAGCAACCTAATTTGCACTGTCAGGCTTGTACTGCAACGTGTAATGGAACTGAGCAAGGAAGTCCTGCCATCTTGCCTGTTTTGGTGTCAGCTTCTTCATGGAATTGAAGCAGCTGGTAGCCACATTGTTTGTCAACACAAGGAAATGCTTCCCTAACAGGTAATGCCTCTATGCATTGATGCAGTGAATGACTACTGTCATCTCCTTCTCGTGTACTGAATACCACCTTTCAGTATCGTTCAACTTCTTGCTTTCAAACGCCACCGGATGCCCATTCTGCACCAACATCCCTCCAAGAGCAAAGTCTGATACATCTGTATGGACTTCAAAAGGCAAATCAAAGTCAGGCAATTGTAAAATTGGGCTAGTTATCACCACCGTCTTCAATCGATCGAATGCCTCTTGGCATTCGTAGGACCAGTTCCATGTTCTATCTTTCCTCAGAAGATTTGTCAACACAACCACCTTCTTTGAATAATTCTTCACGAACTTCCAGTAATAATTCGCCAAACCAAAGAAAGATCTCGTTATGTAACCTTAGTAGGGACAGGCCAATCAGCAATGGCCTCAACTTTCTTTGGTTCCATCTTCACCACACCTGCAGAAATAATTTGCCCGAGGAATAAGATTTCCTTTTGGGCAAACTCACATTTTTTTGGTTTCAAATACAACTGTGCTTCCCTCAACTTTGTCAAAGCCAACCTGAGGTGCTCAACATGCTCCTCAAGCATCTGGCTATAGACAACTATATCATCCAAATAAAGTTGTCCAAGTATTCCCGGAACACATTGGTCATCAAGTTACAGAATGTAGCAGGGGCATTGGTTAAGCCAAAAGGCATGACTAAGAACTTATATGAACCGTACCTAGTCACACAAGTGGTCGTTGCCTCATCTCTTTTTGCAATTTTGACTAGATGATATCCCAGCCGCAAGTCCATCTTAGTGAAAAAAATTGTTTTCCCCAGTCTATTAAACAATTCGTTAACAAGCGACACTAAATAGTTGTTATTGACAGTAAATTTGTTGAGGGCTCGGTAATCTACACAAAGCCATAAGGATCCATCTTTCTTTTTGTGAAACAGAACAGGGGCTCCATAGGGGGCTTTGGAAGGTCTAATGAACCCAATGTCCAATAGACCACCAAGCTGTCTCCTCAGCTCCGCCAACTCTGATGGAGACATTCGATAAGGAGCCTAGGAAGGGATTTTTGCCCCTGGAATCAACTCGATGGCATGGTCAATTTTCTGCCTTGGTGGTAATCTTGCTGGTAATTCTTTGGGTGCCACATCCTTGAATTCAACCAGCAACTGTTGCACTGGTTTAAGGACTTGCAATGTTTTGGACTCCTCTTCCTCAAACATAATAGCCAAGTATGCTGCTTCTCCTCTCCGCAAGCCATCTTTCACTTGCAAGACAGACAACATTTCTCCCGAAAACTTGACCTTAGTGAGGGGAACAAAACAAGGACTGGGCATGTCCATCACGAACATCCCCTATAGATGAGGCATAACAGACATTTTCGCCTTTGTAATAAATTTCAGTCCAAGGATTACCTGAAAATCATCAAGAGGGACAGCCATAAAGTCGCATGGTATTTGCCAATCACCAACTCTTAAAAGGATTTCTCTAGCAACACCACCTATCGATTT